CTAGAAAACAGCAAACATCTGTCCTTCCTGAACACCTAGATAATAAACATGTTCTTTACTACTGTTTCCCATTTGATTTTAAGTCAAATACCCAGAAACAAACTGATAACTTAGTAAATTACTTAATTCACATAAAAATAGCCACCCTCGTGCTTCCAGTGTGCCAGATTACACATTACTCAGAAAAATCAATTAGGAAGAAAAACACAATAATCCTTTTTTTAGAGTGCATTTGATTTGTAACAAAGCCCTTTAAAAAAAAAAATAGCAGACATTTTAAGCACTAAAATGCTTCATGTATCAATATGGATTAAAGCTTTTAAGATTACTTCCATTATCTTCAATAGAATCACATATTTTAGTTCAACGAGGAATGTTCATTTTAAAAAAAACCTTCACAACAGTACTGACTAGTAGTCTAATCTGAAAGGAGTTATCTATATGCTCTGCAACAACAAAATTTCAAAATTTTTGCTATTAACCTCCTAGCCCTGTGAAAGCAATCCTAAAAGAAACTAATGCTCAATTCTTTTTTTGCCAAACCAAGCAGAGATGGCTGTAATATCTGTAGTGACAGCCTGTTTTTCCAGAAGTATTATCTTAAGATTCTCAAGAATAATCTCCTTCACCAATTAATGAGACTTAGTTGGGTTTGGGAAAGAATAATGTCCACAATCCCTTGGTCAATGGCCACGATGCCCCTCCTCCTCAAGGGCAGGAGATGAGGGGGGAAAAAAGGATTTGAACAGGAGTTCACCAGGCAGAACATATAGGGACAGCAGAAAGACTATGCGAGACAAAAACTACATGGGTAAATCATTTCACAAACGCAAGATGTTTAATATTATCAGAGCCTTCATTCATTTCAGACACACCATTGTTTAGCTTCCTCTCCAAACCCTGCACAAAAAGAACTGTCAGCCTGCCTTAAGCATGTTCCTTCTTCCATTTAAACAGACATGATTCTTTTGGTTAATCTCTGGCAATGATCGCCATTTCACAACACATTCAGCCCACCCGGAACTGATCAATACCACTACAGACATAAGACTAGACTTTATCCATTTATTAACCACAAGGAAATGTACCATTCAGCACAATTCTATACATTACAAAAGGTTCTATTAAAAAGGAGATGGGGTGGGGTACACAGACATACACACACACACACACACACACACACACACACACACACAACAGAGAGGTACACAAAGAAAAGACTACCACCCTCTAATTTTCCTGTGGCAAACGAGATAAAGACACGGCCATGAAGCCTGTCAATTTGTGTGTGTCCCCCCCCCCAATTCTTTATCACAACCTAGTAAACAAATACTGAATATAATGAATGCATCCATTGTGACTTTTAAACTGTTTCATCCATCGAACTAACTCTCCTGTTAAGTGCATTTGCACACCTCTCAGCCAGATCTATGCATCTCCAGAATTTCAAATACAAAAGACTAGTTTTTCCAACCACTGGTTGCAACCATAGAAAACATCTTCACAAAATCAAAATTTCAAATATAAAATGGCCAGATTATTCCTCCAACCTTGAGCTAAAACACATCTGATGAGAAGAGTGTGTTTCACATTGAGCAGTTTTACACGTCCTGTTCTAAACTGAAAACAATGCCTCCCTACAAAGGGCTTAAAATAAGTATTCCGTAGGTAAGCAGAATCTATGCCTGAAAAGAGCACACAAATGGTGGGTGAAAGCCAGCACACACTACCAACACACAGCGGCATACCTCTTCTGCACTGGGTTATAGTTAATACTCCAACAACTACAACTATTTTTAACACTGCTGGACAATGAAGTTGAAGACGTGAGAGGAGACCTAGATTAAACTGCTGATAGGAAGCACTGTTTCTCACGGTCAAAATTAAGCAGCAACTGCCTAGATCTATGTCGCGATATTCGCCGGTGAAGCATTCATTAGATGACGACCCAAACCCGTCCTTGTTTTGGAGGAGCTAACGCTAAATGACATTTCGGAACACTCCTTTTGAGTCCCAACCTTTGCATAAATTGTCACTTGTGGTATGTGCGGCTTAACTGCAACCCAACCAGCGCTGTCATCGAGTGTTACGGCCACAAACCATGACTTTCTCACTTCCACAACAACACAGTACTCATTCTATCAGTTCGCCAAACCAACCCAAAACAAGGAAAATCCAGGGAGGCTTCCAGATTGCTGGGGCTGGCCCGGGAGCCTCCCGCTGCCCCCCGAGGGGCGAGCCACCGCAGCCCAGCAGCCCAGCGCGCCGGCTCAGAACCTACCTGAAGAGCAGGAGATAAGAAAGACTGCGAACGCCAACTTTGCAGCAGCTCCCATTTTCTTGAGTCGCAGGGGAAGCCGTAGGAAGTTCTCACTAGATATCCAGTTCCCTGGGTCTTCCTCGGAGACAAACCTCCTGGTGTAAAATCAACCGTCATAAAACATATTCGGAAGCCCCGAGCGGGGGAAAAACGTTCACGGGGTTTAAAAAGAAAAAAGGGGGAAAAAAGCACAACAATTAAAAAAAAAATTGCACCACGGGGGAAAAACCGCCACACACGCACAACACACAAAACCAAACAACGAAAAGCCAACAACAACAAAAGCGGGTTTAAATCACTGTCAAAATCACTGTCAGCTCCGCTCGCCTCTCGGTCTCCGGGAACAAAACGCCTGGCTGAGGCGACGAGGCGGCGGCGGCGCCCGCAGCCGCCCGGACAGTCCGCGAGCCGAGCTGGTCCGACGTCCGGACCGACCTTCAACCCGGACACCCAAAGTCCGCGGACCACTGGCTGCCAAGCTCGCGGCTGTAGCGGCCGGGGCGGCGGCGGCGGTGGCGCGGGGAAGCGGCGGCGGGAGGCGGCGGCCAAGTTCTGGTCCAGGCTGTGGCTCCGGCTCCGGGCTCGGGCTCGGGCTCGGCCGCGTTTTCGGTCTCCTGGCCTCCACCGGCCCCGCCCCCTGCACTTCCGGTTCCGGCCCGAAGCTGGGAGCCCGGCGCGGCGGAGGAACGCTCGGCC